TATATATATATATATCTTAGCAGCTGGATATTTTTCCCAGTGATCTTTATTCCCTCTTTATATACATATTTTGAGTGGAGTTCAGCAATTGTTGGTTTTGACACTAACCCCTGGGAGCTGCCTGCATGAAACCAGTAGCTCCCAGTTTGGTAAGCTGCAGTTCAGCCTTAGAAAGAACACACAGCTAAGTTCTGTGTCCTTGCAGACACTTCAGGGCTGGGCCACTCCCTGGCAGATGTAATACTGCACTGAACACCACTGGCTCCATGTTTTATTCTAGCATAATTCCTTTAGAATGCATACATTCCCCTGGAATACCATCAAATACTGGTCACCATCTATGCTGGACCAGCTGTACCATCCTGCCTGTTACTACATCCTTACTCACACCTGGGCAGATGAGCAGTAAATTACTCTGTGCAGGTGCACATGGTTCAGCTTGGCTAGGAAGGCAAATTCACATTCTTTTCTCGTAAGATCCTTTCCTAATTCTCTGCTTAGTGTGCAAACTTACCTCCTGGTACTCACTGTTGAGCTTGTTGTCATCTGTCACGATCTCATCGGGATAACCAATCCTCTCCCTAATTGCTGTTGCCTAGGGACAAGAGAATTTGATATCCATAACAAATCCAGCCATGCTTTTAATTCAGTCATAAATTATATACTAAAGGCAATATGGAAGCTACAGCAGAAACCACAGGATGTTAATTATACACGGTTTCCTTACATTTTTTATTCATTGAAGCTCTGGTTTATGGGTTTTATCCCATTGCTCTAATAGCTGGTCAAACCAGCAGACATCATTCCTTCTCATGTTCAATAGTGCTTCCCTGTAGATACTCATTATCCAGCCCCTTAATCACTGATTTGCCTGAAAGGTCTTAATCTTGTATGCAGATTCCTGTTATTTTGTGTGCTTATCTCCAGAGGCTCCTTCCCATGGAGTCTGTAAGCTGCTGTGCCTACATAAACAAATGTATGTGCATTTGTGTGGATAAAATAGTGAGAGAAGCCACTGCCTTATTTTTGTCAGGACAAACAACTGAAACACTGATTTGTATAGAAATACACACTGCCAGTGCTTAAGACAGAACTTACTTTCTGTTCTGCTCTCTTTTTGGTCTCTGCATCCATCCAGGGCAGCTCATCTAAGGTCTGTATAAACACCTCTCGTATGTCTGCAATCATTTCCTCCACCTGGCAAAAAACAGCACAGAGTTACAAAACCACAGAAAAGGATGTTCCTTTTCCACAGCCACAGTTAGTTCATTGCAGACTCCTTTTCCCTGCGCTGACTGTCTGAGTGTGTGCTCACACACCAAACCTGCAGCTCAAAAAGCATATTTAGCCTGTCCCAGGGAAGGGAAGGGAATGGACATGAGCTCACAAGGCAATGCAAGTTAGTCATTCAGGTGACAAAAACCTGACAGGCATCCCCTGTGAGATGTTGTATGTCTGACTGAATTTGCTGATTGCTGTCTAGGGTTAAACCATGACACTTGTGTATATGGCAACCTCTAAATGAGCTGTCTCACACCTGCATTCCAGGGGTGGTAGGAGGCAACTAAGGCTTCACTCCAGGTTCACTGTGTGACTGAAGGCAAACAGAAATCACTAGTTGCCCCTGTGCCCCATGATGGCAGGATGTGATCCAGTGCTTGTCCCTCCAGGTGTCCTCACCTTTGACATGTTACTTTAATAACAACTTTGATTTTCAAAACTTTATAACAATAGTTACTAACACTCCAACAAACACGTAGAAACCACTTTGATGACACTGTAACAAACAGTGTGATCAAAGCTGTGTGAAGTGCATGGTGATGGTTGTGTTAACTATGGTGGTTAGAAGGCACACAGATTTTACTCAAGGCTTTACCACATGCTTGCTGTCCCCAGCAAACGCCTCCTCCACATAGAGCCTTCCCACCGCGTTCTCCATGTTGCCGTTGACATAGTTGGCGCAGCGACGCCAAACAGCAGTTTCTGATGTTGTGCCATAAAGTGCCTGTGGAACACAAGCAGCAGGTCAAACAGGGATGTCAAGATCCCCGCAGGTGAAGCAGAATGCTGACTGACTGGTGTGTGTGTGTCAGGAGACTCTCGACCTTAAATACACACATTGAATTCATACCAGTGTTTAGGGCAGTTAGGTGGATTCACTCTGTACTGGGAACATCAGCCCTAGGCTGGGGAAAGATGAGGAGCATTAACAAAATTCTTTATCCTTTCAACACATGAAAGGTAGAAGAAAACTACTCAAAAAGCTAAGATATGAGAGGTTGAAGAGGAATACTCTGACACAAAGCTTTCACTGGTCCAGGGATCTGCACTGCAGTTCCAGCTCTGACAGGGCTGTTGTGATTAAGCAGCAAATGAATTTCTGCAGTGCTAAGTCTGTGTTTTCCACCCAAGCAGCAGATTCTGTTGGAGCCTCCCACCTTTGGGACCTCACAAAGTAGAATCTCCTTTACTCCATGTGATGTTGCTACAAGGTGTGCAAGGGTTTTGACATGATAACGTGAGCATGTGATAAAGCTGAGTGATAACACAGTGATATGACACCTGAATGCAAGGAGTATGGCACAGTGACATTACAGGGAAACTCTCTGCAATAAGGTTTATATTCCCTACCAAAGCAGCTGCCCATCTCTTGTGAGGTCCAGATCAGACCTGTAATTGTTTAAATAAAGAGTCCCAAATAAATGAGTCTGTTCTGGTATCAAAATGGGGATTCATTTAGACTCAGAGAAACCACAGACCAGGGCACTGCTCTCAAATCCACTCAGCTATCAGGCATGTGTCCCATAAATTATGGATACACTCCAGCAGGGGCTCAGCATGCACATCTGGCTTTTGTGTGCAAAATCCAAAGTCCATTAAATATTTATGTACTACATCTACATAAAAAATTAGCCTTTGTGGTTCACCAAAGTCATCTTCCCAACTCAAAGAGAGATGAGTTTCTGCACCTTACGGAAAGCATTCCTTGTGTCCTTGTAGTCCCTGCTGAGGCTGTTGACAAGGTCCATCACAAATCGCCAGGTCATGTAATTCTGAAGGTCTCTGTTTAGCAAAACAACACCACCAAGCTCAGAATCTTTCGAGGCTTTTTTAAGTGCACTGGAAGGAAAATGCAAATGGCAAGAATAGCTGAGACACCTACCTGGGGGTGTATTTGATGAGGATAGAGCTCAGCTTGAGCAGGTAGTCAGGATCGTAGACAATGACGTGTTCGGTGCTGTCCACATTGATTTGGACAGTTGACATTATTGCGTTGATGAATTCTGCCCAATCAAATGTCTGCAAAATGAATATGCATTGTTTATGATTCAGTCATATACAATCAGCACTTAGCTGCTTTTTCCAGGTTAAATATGTCTGCATGACACAAATGCTCTGCCTTTAGTTTCCCTAACAGCTGCACTACTTGTAAATGGGATCATCATAACAACAACTGGTCTGGGATCACTTACAGCCTCTGAGCT